CTACTCCTTTGCTCTAGCCCGAGTCATCTTGGGTTCCTATAAGAGCAAAGAAAATTGTAGTTAGGGCTGATACAAGGCTCAACATCATTCAACCACCAAGAAATAGTGACCAGTTCAATTAAATTTGTCTGGTCCAGGTAATTTTCAATGTTACCTTCATCAGTGCAGGTATGCAGGGTATCAAAGTAAAAGTAGTTCGAGCTCTAAGTCTGATGAGACTTGGTTAAATGCGGGCACTACTTACGAAGAGTTCAGCCAGTGGGTTGTTGGGACTGCTGTCTCTCTCTGTCTCCTCCTCTCCCTGGTCCTCCTTCACTGAATGTCTCATCATGGCGACAACATTCTCATTCGTGATCACACGCTACAGGGGAAATAGCAGAAGACCATTCAAACCTAAAAGTTTCCGTAATTCAATTGTTAAATGTAATGTTTCCAATACTGATGACATAAATTTGAACAAAATATGTGTATTTGGGTCATACAATAGAAAAAATCTATAGCTTGCAACCTGTCTTTATTCTTAAGATGATGTGGACACCTGAACATTTCAAACTTGGAAGTCTATTCTATTTAGATGATTTTACTTTACCATTGGGATAATGATTCTAAAATGAAAGAGAATTATATTACTTCAATTATGAATTGCCCTGAAGGAAAAATTCATCATATTTTCAAAAATCCTTCATACAAAATAGTTGTTGTTGTTGTGTTTTTTGTAATCTATAGTACCCACATGCAAGATGCTCTTGACATTAGTTGTTGATAGGCTGTAGTTCCTGCCGATATCCTCCAGGTGGCTCTCAAAACTGGGGTCCAGAAACCCAGCAGAGCTGCCCTCGCCTTCCGCTCCCTCAGGATGAGGAAGGATTAACCTGACAGGATAGGGGGAAAAATTCATTTAAGGCCACAAAAATTAAATTTTGGGGCTGTCATATTTTCTAAGAATACAATGTATACTTAACTGGAAAATGTGATAAAAGGTTGAGGTCCACAATACTGTACAAAAACTGGTGGTTTATACTTGTTAAGTGAAACAAACAAACATATACAACTCTTTCAATAACACATCCCAACAACTGACCTTAGTTTTCTTGGTTTTAAAGACTTCTCTCCTTTCTTCCGTTTCCTTCCAGCTTTCTTCTTGTTCTTGCCTTGCCCGGGAGACGTCTCTACAATCTGCATACTGAAGCCGTCCCTGCTGTCTTCCACGCCCTCTTCCAGGGTCGAGAAGATTGTGTTCTTTTCTGAAACAATCTGTTCTGTGGAATTAACTGTTCTATCAGGTTCAGCTGTAACACTAGTAGTACTGCAACTTGCTGTAGCAGTGTATACTTTGGATTGCGAAGGTTGGGAGCTGGGCCCAGGTTCCTTATCATTAGCATCATATTTTCTAATCTGAGCTGATGAGACAACATCTAACGACTCTGTTCTCTCCAGTGTCTTATCAATATCATGTACATTTTCTGTTTTTCCAAGTTCATGGACTGCACCTGTCTGTGCAGGTGTGGAGGCACCCTCTGTTTTCTGAAGTTCGGTGGAGGACAGTGTTGGTTCTTGGCTGGAGTTCTGCTCCCCTGGTTGTGGCGGTTCCTTCTTGTTGGAAGACATCTTTAAGATGTCTAACTCTAGCTCACAGTCTGCTGTAAGGGCACAAAATGATTCAGGGATTAGAGACGCATTAGAGACTTGACAGACTTACTTTGACAGGAAACTACATGTTTTGCTGAGCAACTAGTCACACCGTCCGAGAAAAATATAGTTAGGGTCAGATCCACATATGCATATTTTCGTTGATGTTGCTGATGGAACTATTTCAAAATTCATTATGTACGAAGTACACAGCTCTCATTGCTTGGTGAGTTCGAGACCTACAGATTCCTCTCCGTTAAGATGTACGTGCAGATAGTTTCTATTAACCCCTACACGTTCACACAACGAGTTACGTTGTTTGTAAACATTAACGCCCCCCTCCCCCATACGGTAACACGTCAAAGTTACCGCGGCAAATGCTCTTGAACTTGGCACATTACGTACCTGGCAAAGGAGTAAAACGTTCCCACGGCGTCCTTTATTGTAGTAACGTTTGGAGAAGCGAACGTGAGAAAATTCAACAGGTCCAGATGAGAGTAATTACATGTCAAACGTTGGAGAAACTATGCTGTTTCGACATCTTGCACCCAGCTGGGGTCGTTGACCTCACAACGGATTGGTGATGACATTACCCAGCATGCACCACGGCTTCTTTTTTCTAGAGGGACCAAGCAGATGTGTGTTGTTGTTTTGTTGCGTTCTGTACGTCTTTCCGGTGACACGGTTTTTCCACTAAATCAGCTTATATTGGGTATGTAAGTGAAAGACTTTGCCCTATTTAACAACCAGACTGATTTCGCACGAGTTTATCTTGCTTTTTCGGAACCTTCGGTGTGAGCTGTTGCACTGGGTTTACCTTTGAACCCGGAAATGCAGGAACCAAACTTGCGTGTGGCTGTGCACGTAAGCCTAAGAAACAAGCAGGAAACAGAACTGATGTATTATTGACATGTTTCGACGTACTATGGTTAGAACGGGCGACAAAGATCATCGGTAGTTTAAGTACGTCTGAAGTCACGCTAGGAGCGCAGAGGTAGTTACATGGTTCATTTCTTCGTACCTACAACTTCTACTAGTACTTTGGGGGTAAATTTCTCTAGCCATGGTACCAGCAAGGATTGCGGCGCTTCTGTGCATTTCCATTTCTGTGGCGGTTTTGGACACCAGTGGTACCAAAGACATACGTATGGACGCCGTGTTTCCTCCGGTCATCCAACCGAGCAACTCCGGCCTCCCAGTCGGCCACCTGTTACCACTGGGCCACCAGAGAGAGGCAGAAGCGCCCGTCAAGGAGTACGCACAGCCACTGACTCCGATAGAGCTGTGGGAACAGCACGCAAGACATCCCTATGTACCCCTGGTGTACAGACAAGCCATCGCCAAGGCCCCCGCTGTCACCACCTGGCAGAGTGATGACTACATCAGGGAGAAGTATGGAGACTTGGACGTCCTGGTCGAGAAGAAGTACGAAGATCGACTAGCTCGTCCGCAAAGGATGCCACTGAGGGAGTTCTTAGACAACTACCGAGACGAAGACTGGTACGTGGTGTCGTTGCTGCCCGACCCCATGCGTGCCGAAATGCAGGTGCCTCGCTCGTTACTCTGCGGGACGTTCAAGAAAAACATTCTGGAGTCGAACCTGTGGCTGTCTGCCGGTGGCACTAAGTCCCTGCTCCACTACGACGCCGACCACAACCTACACTGTCTGATCTCCGGGAGGAAAGACTTCATCATGATCGATTCCAAGTACGAGGACCTTCTAGAGATGGCCCACAAGAAGCAGTTCTCCGGATCGAGTTTCTCCCACCTGGACATGGATAGTATCGACCTCCTGAGAAACCCGCGCGTGTCGGAGGTCCCCTGGACCTGGGCCACCCTCCTCCCCGGCGACTGTATCTTCATCCCCGCGGGGTACTTCCACCAGGTCCGGTCGTACGGGCGCAGCGTGGCCGCCACCATCATGTGGTCCCCGCTAAACCACTTCGACGACTCGGACTGCGCCGCGACGGACATAGACAAGTACACGGCTCTGAGCGACGTCACCATACAGTGGACGTACAAGAAGGGAGACAAGTTCATCGACATGGGGTACATGAACGTCGAAATCATGAGAGATTCACTTCTTAAGGTGATGGAAGTTAAAAACAGCACCAAGCTTACAAAGGAAATGTTCACCTACTACTACGAGGTCGCCGTTGTCGACGAAGAGGAAGACAAGGAAGTAGAAGAAGAAGACTTGGAAATGATCGAGAAGATGTTTGGCATCTTGAATAAGGATAAGACTGGATACATCACACGCCAGAGTCTCGAGGATCTTGACATCGAAGTCCTCAAAGACGTGGCTCGTCTTATGGACGAAACACACGGGCCTGTCGCAGAAAATGATAAAGACAGTACACATGACGAGCTGTGACTGTGACGCATAATTAGTTCTTCAAGTTCAAGACATTCCGTTAGCTCCTTTGAAACTGATGCTGCTACTTGTTGCTTAAATAGCGCTTGATTAGTCTTCTTTGTAGTGATCATCACGTTTGAAATATACGGTGATATATGCTCAGTCGAATGGAAATGTGTACAGTTAATTGTGTGGAGAAAAGTCAGAGTTTCTCTTGTGTATCTTTCTGATAGATTACTAGTACATGTATATGAGATAACACGTGTTGTAACAAGTGACCGGTAACTAGATGTGTAAACGAAGGGGAAAAGGTTTTGCAATAAATATTATATACTGTACTGAAGTCCTTTCACTGGAATTATACAATTTTATTATTGATTATGCAATATAGGTCCTCATTTGCATAATGTGCCGCTGATTGTGTATACCATTAAGCTGAGTGTGACTGAGCTGAGTGGCAGAAGTTTTATACTTGACAGGTACACTGCCGTGCAATACTTGATGCTTCAATAAAGGTTAATATGTTTTCGGTGCCGTCCATCTGTGTAACTAGCATGAGTGTCAGGGCCCGGTAGCGGATCGTGGGGATCGGACGAAGGCTAGTAGAAAGGCTGACACAAAGGCTACTGTGTGACGCGATATTCATGTATTCCGAGAAAATTAAATTTCAGATTATAATATTTTTGGTGTGCGTGTTAAAGAACATATAATAATAGTATCGCGTAAAAGTGACGCCGCTAACTTCCGTGTTCTGGCAAGGCACCGTCCCAGTTCTGTATCGACCCTTTGCTCGAAAAGTTGTTCTAGAACCGCAAACTCCCAGTGTTCCAGACTAGCAACGGCTTTCGATGTGGTTTGTTTACAGTCTCTACTGAATATTAGCAGTGACACAGGTATCCTTGAGTTGCTCCTTTCTACAGTCAAGAGTTCAGACTATTTTTGCTCAACATGTCGAGACGACGTGGCCGGCGAAGACACCGCGGTCTCGAGCTCCCACGTTTCCAGCCTGTTACGTGCCGGATGAGCCGCAGGATGGGCAGCGGCTGTTGTTTAGCGCCGCTGTGATCATGATGTTGCTCCTTGTAGCTGTGGCTACGGTGAGTCTACTACATTATCACTTTATATCTCTGAACCATCTTTTATATCTGTGAAAATAAGTAGCCTGGTCTGGTATCATCGACAAGTGATTGTCCTGTATCACAGAGAAAGGAGTAACTCGAGGGTTGACTCTGACCCCGGGAATCGAACCCGCGTCGCTCGCGCGACGTGTCAGCTCACAACCAGCGCAAAAACCAATTCACACAAAAGATCCAGGGTCCATTGGGCCCTATATACTCGCTGTTACACTCCGTATTAGTTTACGTAATTACGTTGCTTAGCTGTTCTTCATGCATGAATTATCGTAATAATCATTTCAGCTTTACATTAACCTGGAGGAAGTTTAGACAATTGTTCACAGAACATGATGAAAAAGTAGGTAACAAAGGATGCCCACCCAGGCCTTGCTTGTACCCATACTATATGTTAACGTTACTATGAAAGAACGTGTGTATTTCAGGTGGTTACTGAGACCGTCACAGTTCAATGGTACTACAACAACACCCCTGCAGATACTACATCTGCCAAACTTCCCCCGTACCGGAGCTGGGGATACAGCATAGGGACGGATCCCGGTGTGGTGCACAACACTAGGAAAAGGTTCCTAGAGAAGCCCGTACTTGGAGATGACCACACTCCTGACGATATGTTCACTCGTGAAGCTGCCCCGACAAATGATCCTGACATGCCCCCTGTACATGTGGATAAAGTTCGCCCACCTATTCAGGGGCCAACTGTCTTTGGAGGCAGTGTGCAGGAGGAAATTGACGGCATGTCGGATATATTCAAGTCCTGGGCCTTCATGACGAAAGAACAGCGCAACTTGCACATCGCCGCGACTTCGCATCAGGAAGCAGATCTACGAGATTCTCAACCAAGAGCTTGATCCTAAGATGCCACCCGCCTCTTATAAGATGACCCAGTCTGCGCTGAAGCCGCACACTTCTACGAATGAGAAAACAAAAGGCGAGATGGGGAAGACGGGAATGGCTACGAAAGACGAGGTGCAGGTTAAGAACGCTACAGAAATGAACTTCGTCACGACAAAAAACACGACATGCCACGAGGGGAAGCACGACTTGTTCAGGCATGTCCAGCGGGTGGAGACGGTAGCACTTGCGGTCGTTGGTGTGGTGACGGGAGGGTCGGTGCACTACAGCTACAGCTGCACGGCACAGATCACTTAGACACAGATCCACACGTAGTTAGTACCTATATGGTTTTATGTTCTATGAGTATGAGCTTCTGATGAAGTTATACTAGTATGATGATGAAAAAAGAAATACCCCTGCCAAGATGACAAAACCTACATCAGCTAATATTCACATTTCTTGATACTCTCGGTAATGGGTTGGTGCATTTGAGAAACATTGTCGATTTGCTTGTTTACAGTGAGGTTGATTGATAATTGATTTTTTTCATTTCTTCTGAAGGTATAAATACCTTAGACATGCTCGGTTACTTATTTTGTTACCTGCGTCAACATTACGATCCAACCTCAGATAAACATTTCATTGTCACATC